GCTAGGTTTTTCAACCAAATACAGGTAAATATCGGGCCACTGAATACCGGGCCACTTACTAACGTCATGTTCCCATTCAGTAACAGTACAAGGATCTGGGAGCCGCTTGCCATTTGTTAAAGTGAGCTTTTTAAAGTACGCTTCGCGATCTTTCATTGATAACGCACTGACGTAGTTTGACAAGCCGCCGCTAGCCTCCATACTCGTTGCCAAGATGCGCGCGCAGCCGTCTTTGTTTATCAACAGTTAATTGGTCTATAAGACTGCGTGCAAACCTGTCTAGCCCAGAGGTGCTATGTTGGCCCAATGGTTAGCATCAAAGACTGGGACCTGGAGAACCCAGGTTCGATTCTTGTCTGAGGCACATCTTTTGGTTGCTTGTGGCAAAATTGTTTTTTCATTAAACAATTATTATATAACATCTTGTCTTTAATGTCTGGAAAAATTGAGGTGAAATTCACTAGTGCTATACGTTAAATATTGTGATATGTTTTGATAAACCGAACGTTACGTTACATCCTCCGCTGCTGTGACCGCCGCTCTGACAGCTCAGTGAACGCACTGCAGTCTGGGCTCCGAGCGCGGACCATAGACACGCGAACAGAACCACAGACAGGACCATAGACACGCGAACAGAACCACAGACAGGACCATAGACACGCGAACAGAACCACAGACAGGACCATAGACACCCGAACAGAACCACAGACAGACATTTACATTTACATTTACATATACGCAGACAGAACCCAGACAGGCGGAGACAGGCGAGACACGCGGATCATACTTGGACAGAACCAGAGACACACGAAGCATAGACACTCGAGGGACAGGTCCATTTGTTTTATTTGTGTTTAAAGTTACCTAAGTTTCTCCTTGCATTAAAAATGCTTGGTGGTTGTGGATATTTAGACTGCGTGATTTGATAGAATAATACTGGCAATGTCTAATACATATCTAATTTTCAGTAAATTATAAAGAGAAAGAAAAAGAAGAGGAGGTCAAAATTCAAGAGGAGGAATAGCTGTTGTTCTCGGGGAACGAGCTTCGCGCTGTGTGATATGATCATGCAGCTTATTGGACAAAATTGTTCAGCCAATAAACGGAACTATATTTGAAGCAACGTAGGAACGTGATGACGCTCAGGGGGTTATATTTTCTAAAAAAAGATTAGAACGCAACATTTAGTTAATAATGTGTGTATAAAAATAAAAAATATTGAAATTATGACTTTAAACAAAAAAGTCTGATGACTTGAGAGGCGAAGAAGAAAATTGGGAAGGCCAAGAATAAAACTGGTAGGCACCGGCCTACCCAGGCCTATCCCTGGCCGCGGCTGGGCCGTGCATGTGAATGTAAATGTGTTTCTATTGAATGCTATTTCTTTCTTTATAATCTTTATCTTTATAATACGAATTGCATTAACGTATATATTTAAAATAATTATGTATTGTCTATAGAATTCTATGCGAATTCGAAAATAAAGACATTCTGAAAGCGATCTGCCTCTCGTGATTTTTTAGTGAGGTCTTCTTCTGGTATTTACTGTTTGGCTGAGCAAAAGTTTTAATAGTATTGGTTAAAATAAATGCCATTTTCAAACACGGCGTGATGTAAATAAGAGAGAGAGCGAGAGAGAGACGCTGACGCATTTTGGCTCAGTGCGCTAGTGTGCAATCAATGGAATACATCACAATACTCATCAAACAAGATCCATTCAGTTTTATCATTGGAGGAAATGTTTATTAAATTAGCAATTGGCACCTTGACAAAACACTGGATATAGAAATCCTAACAATAGTAGGCTAATATAGGCTAACGTGGACATCCCTTGGCCCGTGGGGATATCACATGCCAGTTGCCTCTCCCTTCAAGGCTATGACCTGGTCGATGACTTTGTCCAGGTGGTCTATATATTTATTGCAGACCTGGGTTGTGAGTTTGTTTAGCCAAAAAAACTCTATTGCGGAGATCAGTGCATCCTTGCTCATCGGCTTGGCCTCACAGCGAATGTATCTTTTCATGGACGCCCACACTAACTCAATGGGGTTCAGATCCGGCGACCTTAAACAAAAACACATGGACATGTCAGCACTGTTAGCCTATTTTCCGATACAGCATGTATTCATCCAGAATATATATATATATAAAATAACTACGGTAACTCACTCTGCCGGTGTCGGTACCCAGTTGATCCCCTCACTTTCAATGCAGGCTTTGACACTTTTTGCTGTGTGTTTTGGATCGTTGTCTTAAAAAATCAAACAGGACAAATTAGGAGGACAACTTAATCATTAAACAAACATTAGTAGCCTAATCATCACGACGTTGCTTTTGTCATAATCATGCTGAAGATTTGGAATACAGATTGTTAGCCTACCTTGGAAGAATCTATGTGTAGACATACGGAAATGCTCCCTTAAGTATGGACCAGCAGCTTTTTTGATGATTTCTTCCGCGTAGAAGTGTTGATCCATTATACCTGCGGGTTTAAATAATATGTTAGCATATTGTAACAATTTATTTAGCATAGCCTACTTTGCATGCATTGCTTTCAAAACTTCATCACTCACCGTCAAAAATGACCAACGGACCAGGTCCCCATCGAGAAATTCCACCCCAAACATGCATTTTGACCGGGTGCTTCACTCTTGGTTTTGCAATGCCCCTGAAGTTGGTCTTTCTCCAGCACTTCAAGGCAAAACGTTCCAGTGCCACAGTTGACTCGTCAGTGAAGAGAACATCATCAAACTTTTCACCTGCAGCCTTCCATTCTTGAGCCATATACATTAAATATTGTGATATGTTTTGATAAACCGAACGTTACGTTACATCCTCCGCTCAGTGAACGCACTGCCGTCTGGGCTCCGAGCGCGGACCATAGACACGCGGACTCCGCGTCTCTCTCTCTCTGCTCGCGTCTCTCTCTCTCTGCTCGCGTCTCTCTCTCTCTGCTCGCGTCTCTCTCTCTCTGCTCGCGTCTCTCTCTCTGCTCGCGTCTCTCTCTCTGCTCGCGTCTCTCTCTCTCTGCTCGCGTCTCTCTCTCTCTGCTCGCGTCTCTCTCTCTCTGCTCGCGTCTCTCTCTCTCTGCTCGCGTCTCTCTCTCTCTGCTCGCTCTCTCTCTCTGCTGCTCTCTCTCTCTCTCTGCTCACGTCTCTCTCTCTCTGCTCGCGTCTCTCTCTCTGCTCGCGTCTCTCTCTCTCTGCTCGCGTCTCTCTCTCTCTGCTCGCGTCTCTCTCTCTCTGCTCGCGTCTCTCTCTCTCTGCTCGCGTCTCTCTCTCTCTCTGCTCGCGTCTCTCTCTCTGCTCGCGTCTCTCTCTCTCTGCTCGCGTCTCTCTCTCTCTGCTCGCGTCTCTCTCTCTCTGCTCGCGTCTCTCTCTCTGCTCGCGTCTCTCTCTCTCTGCTCGCGTCTCTCTCTCTCTGCTCACGTCTCTCTCTCTCTGCTCGTGTCCCTCTCTCTCTGCTCACGTCTCTCTCTCTCTGCTCAGTCTCTCTCTGCTCTCGCTCTCTCTCTCTGCTCTCTCTCTCTCTCTCTCTCTCTGCTCACGTCTCTCTCTGCTCGCGTCTCTCTCTCTGCTCACCCTTCTCTCTCTCTCTCTCTGCTCTCTCTCTCTCTCTGCGTCTCTCTCTCTCTGCTCACGTCTCTCTCTGCTCTGCTCTCTCTCTCTCTCTGCTCACGCCTCTCTCTCTCTGCTCGCGTCTCTCTCTCTGCTCACGTCTCTCTCTCTCTGCTCGCTCTCTCTCTGCTCACGTCTCTCTCTGCTCTCTCTCTCTCTCTCTCTCTCTCTGAGAGGAGCAGAGAGGAGGAGAGAGGAGGAGAGGGGAGGAGAGAGGAGCAGAGAGGAGAGAGGAGGAGGAAGGAGGAGAGAGAGGAGAGAGGAGGAGAGAGGAGGGAGAGAGGAGCAGAGAGGAGGAGAGGGGAGGAGAGAGAGGAGAGAGGAGGAGAGAGGAGCAGAGAGGAGGAGAGAGGAGCAGAGAGAGGAGCAGAGAGAGGAGCAGAGAGAGGAGCAGAGAGGAGCAGAGAGGAGCAGAGAGGAGCCGAGAGGAGCAGAGAGGAGGAGAGAGGAGCAGAGAGAGGAGCAGAGAGGAGGAGAGAGGAGAGAGAGAGAGGAGAGAGAGGAGAGTGAGGAGCAGAGAGGAGCAGAGAGAGGAGCAGAGAGGAGGAGAGAGAGGAGAGAGAGGAGCAGAGAGGAGAGAGAGGAGAGAGAGGAGCAGAGAGAGGAGCAGAGAGGAGCAGAGAGAGGAGCAGAGAGGAGCAGAGAGGAGAGAGAGAGGAAAGAGAGGAGAAAGAGGAGAGAGAGAGGAGAAAGAGGAGAGAGATGAGCAGAGAGGAGCAGATAGGAGCAGAGAGAAGCAGAGAGAGGAGCAGAGAGGAGCAGAGAGAGGAGCAGAGAGGAGCAGAGAGAGGAGCAGAGAGGAGCAGAGAGAGGAGAGAGAGGAGAGAGAGGAGCAGATAGGAGCAGAGAGGAGCAGAGAGAGGAGAGAGAGGAGAGAGAGGAGCAGATAGGAGCAGAGAGGAGCAGAGAGAGGAGCAGAGAGGAGCAGAGAGAGGAGCAGAGAGAGGAGCAGAGAGAGGAGCAGAGAGGAGCAGAGAGGAGCAGAGAGAGGAGAGAGAGAGGAGGAGAGAGAGGAGCAGAGAGGAGGAGAGAGGAGAGAGAGGAGCAGAGAGGAGCAGAGAGGAGGAGAGAGGAGAGAGAGGAGCAGAGATTTTATATTTACAAATCTGAGATACGTAACTTTCAAACAGAACTGTGTGACAAAAAACAGCACATTTTGTTCCACACAATCGTTACTAAAGACAAGAGAAATGAAGCTTAAGTGGAAATTCAGACCCATCACCTCCCCAGCTCCTCTTCTGACACCTCCTCTGCTCCCTCCTCTTCTGGCCCTTCCTCTGCTCCCTCCTTTTCTGGCTCCTCCTCTGCTTCCTCCTCTTCTGGCACCTCCTCTGCTCCCTCCTCTTCTGGCTCCTCTCCTGGCTCCTCCTCTGCTTCCTCCTCTTATGGCTCCTCTTCTGGCTCCTCCTCTGCTCCCTCCTCTTCTGGCTCCTCCTCTGGCGACACCTCCTCTGCTCCCTCCTCTTCTGACACCTCCTCTGCTCCCTCCTCTTCTGGATCCTCCTCTGGCTCCTCCTCTTCTGGCTCCACCTCTTCTGGCTCCTCCTCTTCTGGATCCTCCTCTGGCTCCTCCTCTTCTGGCTCCTCCTCTGCTCCCTCCTCTTCTGGCACCTCCTCTGCTCCCTCCTCTTCTGGCCCTTCCTCTGCTCCCTCCTTTTCTGGCTCCTCCTCTGCTTCCTCCTCTTCTGGCTCCTCTTCTGGCTCCTCCTCTGCTCCCTCCTCTTCTGACACCTCCTCTGCTCCCTCCTCTGGCTCCTCCTCTTCTGGCTCCTCCTCTGGCTCCTCCTCTTCTGGCTCCCCCTCTGCTCCCTCCTCTTCTGGCCCCTCCTCTTCTGGCTCCTCCTCTGCTCCCTCCTCCTCTGGCTCCTCCTCCTCTGGCTCCTCCTCTGCTCCCTCCTTTTCTGGCTCCTCCTCTGCTCCCTCCTCCTCTGGCACCTCCTCTTCTGACACCTCCTCTGGCTCCTCCTCTGCTCCCTCCTCTTCTGGCTCCTCCTCTGCTCCCTCCTCTTCTGACACCTCCTCTGCTCCCGCCTCTTCTGTCACCTCCTCTGGCTCCTCCTCTTCTGGCTCCTCCTCTGCTCCCTCCTCCTCTGGTTCCTCCTCTGCTCCCTCCTCCTCTGGCTCCTCCTCTGTTTCCTCCTGCTGTTTCTGGCCTCCTGCTGGTCCCAGAGTCAGGACCACACATGGGGAGGCACAGACCAAAGATCATAGTTGTATATTCTCTGGGCAAGAAATAATTTGGATTAAATGTTGGAATAATGAATCTTTAGAGTTTGATAAGTTTTTTATCTGTGTCACATTTGAGCTGCTTTTGTTTTACTGTGTAAAGTCACAAAATGCAGCGTGACTCCAGGAGAAGATCTGAGCGACATCCCGAGGCTCGCTATCCCCGGAGCAAACGTAACAATGGTTCAAATAAGGCAAACATAATTATCCTGTGAGGAGAGAACCATCACGGACCTGTCAGTGGAAACAGTGTGGGGTCTGTCGCTTTGGTAAAGACCCCGTTAGAACACACAGAAGAAGAGGAACTACTTTAAGGACATGAGATACTTCTGTCTGTGATAATATCAACCGGACACGTCAGACATAGACTGTTTAAAGATGGACGAGGCTAAAGCTCAACAAGTTTTAAAAATAAGTCAAACATTTATTAAATTTGGCAAAATGTATCTTCATTTGAGCATGTGTTGTCATGGTTTAGGTTTATTTCCTGTTTTATTGTGTATTTTGTCACTTCCTGTGTCTTTAGCTGTACTTTCTGTTGTGATCACGTGCCCCGCCCTCGTGTGTCTCATTAGTGTCTCATTAGTGTTGTGTATTTAAACCCTGTGTGTTCCGTTACAGTCGTTTCCATGTCTGTCTCAGTTCTTGTTCTCGGTCCCTGTGGTTTTTCTGGATTTTGGTTTGTATGACTTTTTATTAAATCTGTTATTTTAATGTGTTATGCATGTTTGGTCAATTTTCTTTGTCAAAAATTAAGTCCTGAAACTAAACTAAAATAACAAAGAAGTAAATTTGTATCATACCACAACAAGATAACAATCTAAAAATAAAAAAATAAAATGACAGAAATAATCGTTATCTAGTGTTTCTACTATTCTTTTTCTGTGTTTGTTTTTTCAATGTTTTATATTATACCATAATTATTTAAAATGTGCTTTTTATTAATTTTCTCAGCACAAACAAAGACGGTGGGAAAAAGTCTCTCACTGTGTTGTAAATGTATAACTGTGGGAAATAAAGTAAACTAATGAAAAGGACTCTTTAAAGCCCCAATCCTCCGGGTCAAATATCACGCCCCATTTCCACAAGTTGAAGCAGCCTTTTATCAAAACCGGTTTAATACTTTAACCAGCTCCTCGGGCTCCAGATGACTCCGCTCGTGCTTACAGCCGGTTCTGACAAGTTTAATGCTATAATTGACTTCCTGCGGTAAATGATAAAGAGTCGCTGTGTCTCGTGGAACAGTGGAGGCGGTGGAGGAGGTGGAGGCAATGGAGGAGGTGGACACGGTGGAGGAGGTGGAATAGGTGGAGGCGGTGGAGCAGGTGGAGGAGGTGGAGGCGGTGGAGCAGGTGGAGGAGGTGGAGGCGGTAGGGGAGGTGCCGGGCTGTATCAGGCTGTGTCGGGCTGTGCCAGACTGTGCCGGGCTGTGCCGGGCTGTGCCGGGCTGTGTCGGGCTGGGCTGTGCCGGGCTGTGTCGGGCTGGGCTGTGCCGGGCTGTGTCGGGCTGGGCTGTGCCGGGCTGTGCTGTGTTGGGCTGCGTCGGTCTGTGCCGGGCTGTGCCGGGCTGTGCCGGGCTGTGTTGAGCTGTGTTGGGCTCTGGCAGCAGGGGCCACACGCTCCAGCACCAGGCTTTTTATCAGTTCTCCAGGAAAAAACCACTTACGATTGTCATGAAGTGAGAGGAACTGTGGTTCTGACTGTGTCTAAGGCGTTAGGGATGTCACGTGGTCAGTCAGTCCTATTTAATGATATAGGGCTTTTTTACAGATTTTTTACCAAGATCAACTAAACTTTTTAGTATGAGGGCGACTTTAGTTCATCAGACTTGACCTGGGGCTGACCACCTGGATCTACACTACTCCTACACTAAACCAGTCGCAGATGATGACTACAAAGAACTCAAACTGGCCACATTGAAACAAAGGAGTAACTTTGCAGTGATGTGTTACGGCTACGACCTGCTGCATGGACTGCTCCCAAAGGCTGTCCTCTCCCAGTGTCCATACGACCTGCTGCATGGACTGCTCCCAAAGGCTGTCCTCTCCCAGTGTCCATACGACCTGCTGCATGGACTGCTCCCAAAGGCTGTCCTCTCCCAGTGTCCATACGACCTGCTGCATGGACTGCTCCCAAAGGCTGTCCTCTCCCAGTGTCCATACGACCTGCTGCATGGACTGCTCCCAAAGGCTGTCCTCTCCCAGTGTCCATACGACCTGCTGAATGGACTGCTCCCAAAGGCTGTCCTCTCCCAGTGTCCATACGACCTGCTGCATGGACTGCTCCCAAAGGCTGTCCTCTCCCAGTGTCCATACGACCTGCTGCATGGACTGCTCCCAAAGGCTGTCCTCTCCCAGTGTCCATACGACCTGCTGCATGGACTGCTCCCAAAGGCTGTCCTCTCCCAGTGTCCATACGACCTGCTGCATGGACTGCTCCCAAAGGCTGTCCTCTCCCAGTGTCCATACGACCTGCTGCATGGACTGCTCCCAAAGGCTGTCCTCTCCCAGTGTCCAACCATCAAAAGAACCCATATCCAAACACGGAATAAAACACCGGTCCATGTGGGCATAGAGCCCCCAACAAGTCAAGCACTGGACCGCTCTCTTATTTGCTACTAAACAAAATTCCAAGACTGTGGGACTGTCTTACTCTGGACTTAATAATAAACTATGGGACTTAGAGGAAAGGCAGATCTTTGACATTATGTTTTGAATATTGATGAATCCAGCCGTCAAAGCCTAGTCATAAAAATAAAAAATAAAAATAGAGTTGAGCAGGATTTTATGTAGAATGTTGTGACACAATCATAAAACAAATGTTAGTTTATAACGATCGTGTAAATGACAGGATCCCAGAGTGTCAAAGGACCTCAATGGGCATTGTTTGGGCCGCAATTGTTCCACGGGCCTGAGTTTGGACATGGACTGTTCGACGCTTTGAGCTGATTGGCTGAGAGAGGGAGGTCATCTTTTCTTACTTTTCCGTCTGAGAAAGCTGATCTACAGATGTAAAAACCAGAGAAGAGACGCCTGTGAAAACGAATGATTGATCCAAACTGTTTTGAGAGCGAGGAGCACGTAACATAGATATTGTAGTTTAAAAGTCAGGTACCCCAGCTTTAATGTGAACTTCTCTAAACAGTTCAAAGCTACAGGACGTTTTCGCACAACCTCCAGTTTGGTTTGACCTAACCCCGGTCCAAACAACACGGCAACCTTTCCCACTGTCGTCCCAGGTCGACACACTCAACACGGGTCTAAATCTCACAGACGATTTTACACATTATGTCCCCTTTAAACTTGACAGATACAAGTCCGTCTGTGAAGGAATATGGTTCTCTGCTTATGGAATCCTTCCCAGTCGTTCCGAGTCATTAGTGAGAGACAGATATAGCTTAAACAAAGCTGCTATCTCCGCTGTGGCCATGTTATCTAAGCACACAACATTAAACCTCATTAACATGCGCTGTCCGCCTCAGGATTAAGAGCTTTGCGTTTCAAAAAATGTGGAGTAATCAAATTATTCCAGCGACCCTTACCCGGCTTCGACCTTCATACCACCATTTTACAGACAATTACAGTCGGCTCCAAACCATTTCATATCATTGAGAGAACAGCGAGAGGCCAGCGGGGGCAGAAGATACCACACACAACAGCAAAAAAACGAAAGTTAATTAAAAACGGTGGCTCTAAGATATAATATATTCTGCTGCTGCCGGATAAGACTTGGGAGAAAAGTGAACAGGAAGTGATACGGTGTTCCTTTAAGAGAGCCTATAACCATGATGTGTGATCCCAGTTATTAGACAGAGACACGTTTAAGCTGGATTTAAAAGGACTGAAAAGTGAAGGGTTTAATGTGTTCGATGTTCAAACATGACCTATATCGTTTCTACAAGCTAGCAAATGATTTCTATTCATGGAATCATTCTAGCCTTAAATCACAAACTGTTTCGGAGGACTTCATAAAGTTGTTGTAGATGTGGCCTCCTGCTGGGGCCCGGAGTCAGGGCCAGACATGGGGAGAGTTTCAGATTTACAGTACGCAGCTAACATCTGGAACAATCTTCCTGAAAAAAAAATAATAATCAGAAAATGTGAGACAGGCGTCTACTTTTCAAATCCAGGTTTAGAACAGTTCTGTTCAGCAGTGCAGACGACTGAAGGATTGTATCTTTAGTCCTTTTAATGCACTGTGGCTGCTTATGATTTTAATTGAGTTTTTCTCTTGAATGCTAAAAGCTAAATGCTAAAAGCTAAATGCTAACGACTCACGCAGGCGCATTACACATCACGGTAAAATCAGATCCAATTATTTCAATCTACAAAAGGAGTTAACCCCTCCCACCTGTTAACGGAGTCAATGAAGCAAATCCAGACCTTTAGTATGAAATGAAATGAGTACGATGGTGTGGTAAGACCAGGCTGCATCATGAAACAAGATAAAAAAATGAAAATCATGAAAGTTATTCATTATTTCTGTTTCATTTTTCTATAGATTAGGGCCGTTTAATGATGACCAACCTGAAAATCTTACATAATGCTGCTTTAAACTTAAACATGTTCCAGTTCACTCCACACGTCACCAGTAATCACCAGAACAACACCTGAAACCAGCACTTTGAGTTTCCTGGTGTGTGCATTGTGCTATACAAATAAACTTGTCCCGACTTCTTGGCGATCCACCTGGAAGTAAAACATCTAAAAACCTCCTATAAAAACCTTCTACATATTTTTAACTGATGCAGAATGAATGAAATGCAGTGTGTTGTGGTTGATAGAGAACAGATTTTCAAATATATTTCACATATATTTATATTTTGAAATAATCTATTTCTCTGTAACCAGGGACTACAGATGGAACCTGTCTCTGTGGCTAAACTCTGGAGAATCTCTCTGAGCTTAATGTCTCTGTAAACACTGTCCCTTCAATAAAGATGAACAAAACGAAACATTAGAAGTCTTCTCAAAAACAACTTAAAACATCAAGCATTCGGTAAAACCTCCCTGGGAACTTTTCTGGTGCGACTAATGGATCCCGGCGGCTGCTAACCGTCTTTAATCATGGCGTCTTCATCTCCACCCAAACCCGTGTCTCCCGTAGGTGCTCGTCTCGCGGGGGGAAAGAGCTTTTTTGCTTTTTACTTTCTCGCCGATGGAAAAACATGTCGAGGCGTCTGATCGCGGCCCGTCTCTGCGAGGCCTTCAGGTAATTAGCGTTAGCAGCCCGGCGGGACGCGGCGTGGGCCTCTATCAACACTACTGATAAATATTGACTTGCCGTTGCTTAATTAAAGTGCGGACGCCATCTTTCCCCCCGCCGCCGCCAGCTGGAGTCTGATGCTCTGTGTTAACGACACCCACTGAGTCTGGGTCTGCGCAAAGAGCAGGCGGCAGATTGTCAATATGAGAAAAGAGAGGTTAGTTTTATCATTTAACTGTCTTAATCAAAGCTAGATCCTGTCAGCGCAGGGTCTGGATCAGTCTGGGATGGGAGACTACCCTGCTTTAACTGCTGCTCATTGTGTCTTTAGGTAAGACACTTCACTCAGTTATGAGTCTAGCGCAGGGGCGTGAAACTGGTGTGTGTTTATTTTTTAATTATTATTATTATCGTTATTATTATCATTTTTTTCTCTCTCTCTCTTTCTTCTTTTGGGGAAGAAATTTGGAGACATTGTGGTTGGACTGGGGGTAAAATGTGTTCTCAAGATGCAATAAAAATATCATTTAAAAAGAACTGGTGTGTGGCTGCAGGTTTTCATTCCAACCAAGCAGGAGCACACCAGGCTCCACCCATTTCCCCCGAACACTTGAGGACTCTGGAGCTTTTGTAAATGTAATCCAATGTGGTTTTACTGCAAATGGCAAAAAAAGAATCTGAAATGATTGGAGTCTGGTTAGTTGAATAGTTGGTATGAAAACCTGCAGCCACACACTGGCTCTTTGAGGACCGTTTGACACCTCTGAGTCAGTAGGTCTAGATGAGAGGTGGCAACCTACGGTTCAATTCAATTATTATGGTATCGCCCTAAATCATCAACAGGAGTTATCTCAATTGTCCCATTGTCTGTTTCATGGTACGATGACGGGATCTCTGAGCCTGGCCTCTTCCATCTACACCTGCGGACTGCCCCGCCCGACCCGCCTGGGAGTGCTTCAGTCCTGCACCGGACCTGTCCACGTTCAGCGGCCACTGGTCCACGTTCTGTAGCTTAGATCCTGGGTCTACAGCCTCAGTCCTCGTTCTACAGTCTGACTCCTGGATCTACAGCCCGTCCGTCCGAGGGAGCGGATCCTTGTCTCAAACCATGGGTCTCCCCGAGGTTTCTCACTTTTTCCCACTGGGTTTTCTTATGAGTCTTTCCTCTGATGCAGGAGGGTCTGTTGGGCAGTTAGTGTCCAACTAGAAGGACTGTGATGATCCAGGACACTTTAACATTCTACATGTATGACATTTATCAACATGTGTTCTATATTCTTCATGTGTTTTAACTGTTGATTCTCTGACCTGTGTTGGTGATTTCAATGGTTTTGTTAAGTCTCTGAGATGATTCTGTTGTGACCTAGGGCTATACAAGAATACATTGTATTGTATTGTTCTCAGAGGACTTTACAAAGTTGTCGATTCGTCGAGCAGAATCAAACAGCTCAAACTCAGGAAATGCAATGATTAAAGAACAAAACAGAGCTTTTGGTCCATAATGTCCTGAATCTTTACCACTGCTGTCCATTAGACCTCCTGGTTCTGCCCCAAGGCGGCTGCGGCAACAATCGTGACTTACCGCAAATAATGCAGAGATATTATGTGTCAGTTTTGTCCATTTATTATAATAATTGGACGAAATATGGACAATTCTACAGAGAAAATACACTCTGTCTTCGCCGCTTGAGCTTTACTACTGCCTGGAAAAGGAGACTTATATTATATTAGTGTTGTGTTTAAATCTTTGTCCTCTTTGATAATGAGACGCCTGCTTTGCTTTTGCATCGATCTTGAGTTTGTCTTCATTGTGGGGACCAGGTGTAACAAGAGCCTCCTAAATGCACAAGACTCACATGTACTGACGAAGAGGAGGAGGAGAGGCGGCTAATGATGAAGACGCCGCGGTCAGAGCAAGACATTTATATATAAAGCACAGGCTCATTCTGCCCTGGTGTGTTCGGAAGTAATTGACTTGCTCCGGCTTTTTCTCCACGTCTCATCAAAACCTCGTTATTCCAGACGCCTTGAGATCACCTGACAACAACATGTTTGATTACCCAGTGCACACACACACACACACACACACACACACACACACACACACACACACACACACACACACACACACACACACAGGTATACCGGACGTTGGCAGCCATTTGTGATCCCCATAAATGACGCATTCGAGCCTGTTTCAAATATTAATCACAGTCGTCTCTCGTCTTCATCCATAATTCAAAGCTCGGTGTTTCTCTCCATCGGAACAGTCTGAATATTTATAGCGGCCTCG